GGTTTATACAAGGAATGAGTGGGTATTTTTACATTTGAAAATTAGTCAGTTTTCAAAACAAACTGAAAAAGAAAAAACATATAATCATCTCAACAGATGCAGAAACATTTGACAAAATCCAACATTCATTGCTGATAAAAACTTTCAGCAAAGTAGATATTTTCTCATCTGATAAAGGGCATCTACAAATAACCTACAACTAACATATTTACTAGTGACAGATTCAATATCTTGTACCTAAGATCAGGAATGTGAGACAAATATCTGTTCTCACAGCCTCTATTCAGCATTGCAATGGAGATTCTAGCCAAGGCAATGGGGCGAGAAAAAAAAAAGATTTTAGATTAGAAAAGAAGAGATAGAAGTGCCTTTATTCACAGACAAAATAATTACCTATGTTGAAAATCTGATGGAATCTGCAAAAAGTTGTGATAACTAATTAATGAGTTTAGCAAGGTTGCAGGATATAAGATTCACACACACACACACACACACACACACACACACACATCAAATGTATTCCCATATACTAGCAGTGAACAATTGGAAATTGAAATTAAAAATACTATTTTCAATAGCGTAAAAATATGATATACTTAGGGAGAAGCCTGATAAAAGATGTGAAAGACTTGAAGATTTAAAACTCTAGAATGTTGCTGAGGGAAATCAAAGAACTAAACAAATGGAGAAAAATATCGTGTTCATGGGTCAGAATTCTATATTGTTAAAATGTCAATTCTTTCTAAGTCAATCTATGGAGTCAATAAAAGCCTGCTTTGTTTAGGCACTCAGCCTTCCATATTGGAAGTTCCCCCACAGGAATTTATGAATGTTGGGAGAAATGACATGTAGGCACTAATGGATGTGAAATCAAGTTTATTGCTTGCATGAGGAATAGCCAAAATATTCCCCAAAGAGTAGGTCTTGGTTTGGAGTGAAAGAAGATCAAGGGTGTGTGTGCATGTGTGTGTGTGTGTGTGGGGGGGCCTTGTGTAATTTCATATCATAATCAGGCTGACATTTTTTTTTTTTAAGCTGAGCCATCCTGCTACCTGTTGGCAGCTCAGCGGCTGCTCAGCTCGGGCTGGACTCGAACCGCTGTTGCTCAGAGCTCAAACTCTTGAGCGAGCTCTTAACCAGCTGAGCCACTCGGCCGGCCCTAGGCTGACATTTTTTTCCTCCTTTCTTACCTCCCAGAGAGAGATGACCATCAATGGACCTGTACCACTGGGCAAGACCTCACCATCAGAGTAGGGAGGGTGCTAGGCAAGCATTTGGTCTACCCTGCTCATGAGGAGGGGAGTCCCAGGTAGAAGGAACTGCAGGAGCAGCTGGGGAAACTAAGGCCCAGAATGGGGAGGCAACCTGCTCAAGGTTACACGGTGAGTTGGTGACAGAACGAAGACCAGGATTTGAACTCCTGGCCCGTGGTTGATACTGTCAGCTCGGCCTTAGTCACGTGGATCCCAGGCCTGGGTTGTGGTCCAGAATCCCAAGCCTGGAACAGATGTGGGAGAGGCGAGTTTGGGCAGGAGGCAGGGACCTGGGAGGATGATGATGAAATTAAGCCTATGGAGTAAATTCCTCTCACTGGGGCCCCTTGGGCTTTGGAGGGAACAGTGAATGAGAGTCTCCCCAGTCCTGATTGGGGCCGATGGACAGACTTGAACCTGAAGTCATGGCAGCCTGGGATAAAATTGTCGCAGGCTTCCAGTGAAATGAGAAAAATCAGGCCCAAATCGACTGTCGGTAGAAGGTTGCCAACTGTTAACACCTCTCAAATGAGTGTCACCTGATCTCAGTTTGGGAAATGTCATGTGAAGGCATTTAAAAGTCAGTGTGATTTAACAAGGAACTTTTACAGAATTGGCTGGACTTTCTCGAGAGTCTGAGCATGGTGTTAGGTGGCGTGCGCTTGTGTCTGCTCTGCTCCTCTGACATATGATGTAATAAGTCCTCCTGGCTCAGATGGAGCTGATATTCTGATGGGAGGGACACAGATAACGAAGAAGCAATCATTTCGGGCAGTGGGAAGTTCTGAGGGGAAATCAAACAGGGTGATGAAGTGGAAATGGGGAAGGTGGTAGTGTATCAGCGGAGTCTTAGCAAGACACAGATGACATGACAGTCAAATCAGACATCTGAGGAGTGTTTGAGAGGGAAACTGTTTAGGAAGAGTGGGCCGGGAGTAAGGAAACCCCAGAAAGGGGCTGCATTCCCTCCTCAGCCTTGACGGGACAAGGGAGGAGCAATGACTAGAACCCAGAGATGGAGAGAGCAGCGTAGAGGGGCCGTGTGGGAGGGGTCACTTGACAGGAGCTGAAACCCCCAGTCTAGGGCAGAGCCAGCCCTGCGGGGAGGGACCCAAGGGGATAAACACTCTGACCGTCCTCCCCTCCCTCCTGGATCTCCTGCTGGGTCTCCCCATTGACGGAACCCACCTGGAGGTCAGCAGGGCCCAGGCCCAGGCGCCCTTTGATGTACCATCAGCCCCTCTGGACACAGCACAAGGGGACAAGGGTGGAATGAGGATCTGGAGGCGGGCACGAGGGACCCCCCCCTCCACCCCCGGAGCAAGGAAGAAGTGTTACTTGAGCACTGTACTTAGAACAGTTAACTTGGAGCAGATGACATTGGAGCTGATCTCTGAGAATGAGAAGGAAGAAGCCAGAGGAAGGGAGTTCCTGGTTGAGGGAACAGAGGGTGCAAAGGAGTGGGCTGGCAGGAGCGTGTCCCACAGGCCATGTGGTGGGGGCTGGGGCTTTATTTTAAGTTCCGTGGGAGGCACTGGGTGACTTTTAAGCAGAGGAGTGATGTGATCCAACCCCTCTGGGGGGCGGGGGGCGGGTATGGCTCAGAACCAGGCAGGGGTGGAGGCAGGGGCCAGGTGGGCATGAGAGGCCTGGACTAGGGCAGTGGGCGGGAGATAAAGAGCCGTGGTCAGAGTGGGGTGTAGTTTCGAGGGAGAACCCCAGAACTGGCTGACAGGTCAGATGTGGGGGCAGAGGACAGGAGCAATCAAGGGAACTGGGTCAGTGGGGGTGGGGTGGGCTGTGCGCTGAGCTGGGTAAGCTGGAGGAGGAGCCAGGGAAAGGGGGACAACAGGAGTCCTGTTCGGACACTAAGGTTGAAGATGCTCTTGAGTCCTCTCAGGGAAAATGCCAGGGTAGGCCGTTTAAATCTGGAGTTGGCCGTTGAGAGGATGGGGGCTCTAAAGGAGGGCTCCTTTCTTGCTATTACTATTAACTTCATTTTAATAGAAGGATTTGTTCATTTTTAATAATTCTTAAGATATATATATATATATATATATATATATATTTTTTTTTTTTTTACTAAGCAAACTTCTGCTCTGGGCACTGTCCTGGGAGCAGGGGCTGTGCTGGCTGCTGGTCAGAGGAGGCCCCAGGAGCCTGGACTCAGGCAGGAAGAAGATACAGGTGATCAGACCCCTCCCTGAGCACCCAGTGTCCTTTTCGGGGACTGGGGCTGGGCATGGAGTCTGGAGAGTGGGTTCCTTTTGTCATCTCTGAGGCTATGTGATGGGTGACCAGGGCTTGTGTCTGACCCTCTCTGGCCTCAGCCTGGAGTCAGGGCCACCCAACCCTCTCCTGCCCTCAGCATCTCTGAGCTGGAGGTTTTCCAGGGAGCCACTTTTTGACCTCCCTGGCTCTCACTCCATCTTGCTTGGGTCCAGACCCCGTTGCACCCCCAGACACAGCGAGGCAGTTGTGAGGAAGGCACTGAGAGAACCCCAGGATTGCTGAGTTACTTATTTGGGCCTACGGTTTGGATGCTTAACTAAACGTGACAAATCCTACCAACAAAAAATGGATGTGACATGAAAGGTATTTGAGGCTGAGCGAAAGATGGGCCCTGAGATGCCAACAGGCCAAATTGTTGAGCAGAAGATCAGTTTTGGGAAAGTCAACAGTGAATCTTTCATTCTCTGACCAACTACATGCAGAGGAAGAGGGCTCAGGGTCTGGGGTCTCAACGTGCCAGGACAATCCCTACCTGGGACAGGCGAGGTACAGGCCCCAGGAGCTCTGCTGCCTTCATGGTTGGCACTGTGTGACTTTCTAGGACACTTGACCTCTCTGTGCCTCAGTTTCCACATCAGGAAGATGGGATGAAGATTGCTTTCCTCGCACAGGTTGTTGTGTGGTGAGAGAGGGTCTGAGAGAGGCTCCCAGTGCAGTGCCAGCAAACTCTGTGCTCCACCAACACTCAGAACTGTCATCATTGTTGTAGTGCTAGTAGTATCAGGAACAAGAACATTGTCATCATTCGCCTTCCTCAGAGGCTCACAGAATGTTGAGGTCTTGAGACATCATCTGGCGAAATGACCTTCATTCAAATGTGAAGACACTGAGGCCCAGAGAGAGGCCAGGGCGATGGTGGAACCACGGCCCTTTCTGGTGCCTCTCTGTCCCCACCTGGCACCATGGGGTTTGCAGGTGACACACAGGCCATGATGATGTGGACAATGGAGGGTCATCTGGGGGACAGAGAAGGGAAAGGAGCAATTTTTAGGCCTAAGATATCTCTACTGGCTCCCCAGCCTGGCCCGTCTCTGAATAACTCTGATGGCTGTGCAGACAGGCCTGAGTTTCCATGGCCCCAGAAGTATCTGCTGCTGAAGGTGGGGCATCCTGGGAATCAGGAGACGGGGGCTAGGCTCTACCCACCCTGGGGCAGAGGAAAGGGCACAGGGCAGGAAGGCAGGAGGGGACTTCAGCTCGAGAACGGTGAGGCTGTAGCAAGTTCTTTCACTAATTTGGAGTTTCCAGGCTCCAGGACGCCTCTCCTGGGCCTGGTGGGGGTTTGCAAGGGCTGACAGCTCTGCTGATAGGTCAGGTATGTGCTCTGGGTGTGCCCAGCTCAGGCCAGGCCAGCCAGCGTGGCCTGATAGGAGGGCGGCTGGCAGGGAGCCATGGCAGGTTTCCAGCCAGGTTGGCCACCGGGGTAAAGAGGGTGGATTGGAGCCAGCAGGACGATTAGCTGGGGCCCTGGTGCTGGTGAGTGAGGACGATAGTGGCCTGAACCTGGTGGGACAGACCCTGGGAGAGCATTAGAAGGACAATGACCCCAAGTGTTCGTGTGGCCGGTGCTTCTTTTCCAAAGTTTTCCCCATTCTGGTCTTGCTCAGCCAGGTCACAGACGCCCCCCTTATGGCCACCAATTAATTTCAACTTGTCTTAAAATTTTAACGATTTGCTAATCGATACGGACCAGGCATCCCACCGCTGGTGTCTCAAAGTGAAAGGTAGAAGAACTGAAATGCTGCCTGCAGGTTAGTGTTTTAATATGTTCCATGTTTACTGCCTGTTGTTGTGATTACCTGGTGCCTAAATGTAACTCTTGTGAATCTAAATAATGCTCTTACAGTCCAGGCACAGTTAATTAAGAGGACTAAATGGCAGTGGTGTGGTTTGTGTGGAAGGAGGTGTGTTCCCCACCCGCAGGGCTGGCGGAGGGAGTGACTGACTGAGGAGAGGGGGCACTTTACAGCTTCTGGAGCTCCCAGGCTGCCACCTGCTACCGGGGCCGGTGGTCTCAGGAAATGACAAAACCTCTGTGATTGGCAGTTTTCCTAAAATGGGGCAATAATGCCAACATCATGGGGTTGGTCTTCCCTCCCAGAATGTGAGTCTTAGACCGGGGGCAAACTCACTTCCGGTTATTGCCGGAAGGAAGGGACGAGTACACAGAGAGGGCAGCAGGTTCCGAGGACGGAATCCTGCACTCCAGTCCACTACGTGCGATAAGGAAGGGTGCAGAGGGTGCAGGGATGGGTGGGGTGGCGCCTGTCCACAGAGACCACGAGGCCTGAGCTGGGCAGACAAGGCAGGGATGGGTGTTCCAAGGAGAGGGCACAGAATGCAAAGCCCTGGAGGCATCCACTGCATGTCACTACTGCCTGGTTATAACCCGAGCATCCCTTATAGCAGAAGAACAAGGGTGAGATGCTAGGGTGTCAGTGCTGAAATGTGGCCCATTCCTGGACACCCAGCTAGAAGAGTGGTTGGAAAAGCTTAAATGTATTTAACCCTCTTCACGGGTATTTAGAGCCAACTGCCTGATGTTGGGCAAGTCACTTAACCACCCGGTGCCTCAGTTTCCTCATCCGTGAAGCAGGGATAATGAGAACGCCCTTTACTGGGCTGGATGAAGAGTAAACCTGTGTGAGGTGCTTCAGGGGGTGCCTTGTCCCACACAGGCGTTATGGGAGCATTTGCTGGGATTGATTCTGGTTGGGTGCCCAGGGCCTGTGGAGCCCTCTAATCCTCAGAGTTCCAGGTGGGTGGGGTGGTAGGGACCATCTGTCCCTTTGAAGAAACTGAATCCCAGGAGGTGAAGTGGCTTCTTTGAGGCCACATGGCTGAGCTGGTGAGTGGAGATGAAGATCTGTTCCATCTGCCTGAATTCAGAGACCACCCAGTGTCCAGCACAGTGTCTTACCCAGGATGGGGTCTGCCCTCCCCTCCCACCCCTGGGGGGAGGCTCCCTAGAGCACTAGCCCCAGTGAGCCCAGACCCAGGGGTTCACGTGAGATACCTCCCGGAGAAGGGCCATCCATGCACACGTGCCCCAGACCCACTAGATGACACTCTCCCTCCTGCCTCAGCCCGCCTCCCCCAAAGCCTCTGCACACAAAGGACCTTCACACTCAGTCCCTCCCACGGGAGACAGGGGCCCTTGGTCCTCTGCTAGGCGTGCTGCAGCCCCATCCCCAACCCTGCCTTGCAGGGAGTGTGGGAATGGCGCCCTGTGTTAAAATCCGCGTCTGGATGAGCCCCTGGATGGAGGAATTAACTCGTGTACACACAGAAAATCTCCCGCAGACTTGTCTTCTAACATTTTTTCTGGAAACTGGAACATGCAGATAAGGCAGCGCCTGACTCTGGAACCGGAGAATACATTTGCATCCTCTAAGCCACAAAGAGCTGCATTCACACAGCACTGGGGGAGCGGGGTAGGGAGGGGGAAACCTGCTCTCAGCCCAAGAAGGTTCTGACGGGCCCTTTCTCCAGCAGCAAAATCTCACGCATGAGAATACCGGCACTTTAGCACCCAAACGTCCTAAAAGCCTAGAGTCTTAGACCCCCTCGATCTTAGAATTGTCACTTAATAGAATCTGAAAACCATAATACGTCAAGTCAGAATCACAGGATTTTAGGTTTTAATTGTTATCTTGGCCAGGCCCTTGGCCAGCACCCGCGTCCTCTCCATCCTGTTCCAGCAAGTGGCCTCCAGGCTTTTGATCCACCCCAGGGCCACCTCCTCAGGGCAGCCCTTCATGGTCCCCATCATCCTATTGAGAAGACCTTTAGCAGGACCTGAGTGAGAAATTATACAAGCCATTATACACACATACACACACAAAAGTTTCCAAACAGAGGGAAGAGCAAGTGCAGAGGTCCTGAGGCAGGAAGGCACGTGGTGTGTTTGAGGAACAGCCACACCTGGCTTGTAAAGGTGCAGTGGGTCAGGAAGAACATTCCCGAAGCTGGAGGACTCTGTGACTGAACTCTCTCCTGTCCCCTGGCCTCGCTGTGCACCTTGGGTGAGGCACTGCCCCTACATGATCCTGATGGACCCTTTGGGACAGAGGAAGTCACACTTCTGTTCCTTCATCCAAGGGGTGTGGTCTGATAAAACCTGGAGGTCCTTCCAAGACCAGGCATGCGTGAAATGCCCCAGTGCCCCTGAAAAGGCAGGCGGGATGGTCTTTCTCAGGCTGTACAGAGCAGGACAGCAGCCCAGGCTGATAGGCTGAGAGGGTACCCCATTTGGAAGTAAGCACAGGCTCTGTTTAAGGATGCCCGTGGGCTAGAACATTTCAGTCCTGAACATGCTTATGTAAGAGTAATTGTATCGTCTGTTCTCTGCATCTTTTAATTGCAAAACTGAAGAATGTTTAAATGCTCAGCTTGTGGCCCAGGGAAGGGAGGGGAAGGCAGAACCCAGGTTGGCTTTGAGGACTCTGCCCTTTGTGATGGCCACCGTGGGTGGTCATGGTGGGGAGCCTGTCTGCCCAGGTTAGTTAGTGGCCCTCCCTGGACATGTTTCCTTAGCGGCCCAGGGGTGGGGTTGGACTTAGATGGCCTCTGTCTTAGTAGGGCTTTTCCCAAACAGTCCTGGAAGCACAGTTTTGAGTTGCTGGTGATTTATTGGGGGGGTGACCTCAATACAGGACACATAAGTGATGGAGTAAAAAGAGAGAGGGCGAGGGAGGGGGAAAGGTCAGATAAAAGCGCATCAAGGATGGATACTGCAGTGGGCAACAGGCCCACTCCTGCTGGGACCCTCAGAGGAGCCATGTGGTTCATGCCTCAACCACACCTCCTGCCTCCTGTTGGTTGGGGGCCACCTTTGTAAGCATGAGATCCCATCCCCTCTAGTCAGTCCTGCTCCTGGGCTAAGCAAGCTCCCATGGAGCAGAGAAAGCCACAACAGCCTGGAGCAGTATGGTACTTGCAGCAGGAAGCTGAGAGGGTTCTCTGCCCACTGGCAGTTAGTGGGCTCAGGTGTGGCCCAAGGGTCTCTGGGATGGGGCCACACGAGCTATATCTCCCAAAACCTCCATGCTCTAACATTCTGGGGTTTTCACATCTCTCCAGGCAACTCAACTCCAGGTTACGCCTCCAGAGCCCTAGATCCTCAAGGGTAAGAATTTGTGTCTGTCTTGTTTATCGCCGCATTTCCAGCATTCGGACAGTGACTGTCAATACATATTTTGTGGAATTAATTGCCTGCATGGTGAGCATCTTTCTTGAGCAGCCACTGTTTTAGGCCCTGCGGATATGGCGTTGAATCAGGCGTGGTCCCTGCCCTTAGGAGCTTGCTGCATGGGAGGCAGCTTCATAATCGTGGTCCTTTCAACAGTAACACTATCATCCCCGTTTACTGAGCCTTTACTGTGCCCCCAGGGATTCACATTTGTCACCTCATTTCAGCCTCCAACAATGTGTAGGATCCATATGGTCGTGCATGTTTCACAAGCAAGAAACTCAAAGCTCAGAGAGGTGAAATGACTTGTCCAAGTTCACACAGCTAGTGCAGAGTGGAGGTGGGATTTGAACCCAGGGCTTTCTGCCTTAAGTATACCAAGCTCTGCCTCACCTCAACAGCAACTCAAACACGAGAAATCACGCAGATCCAGGTAGAAGATGCCTGAGCAGTGGCAGTCATGAGGGCTCTGAGGTCAGAGGAGATGAGTCTGGGGAGGTTTCTATGCCTTGAACTAGGGAGGGTATGGGTGGCTGGAGAGACGAGGGACCAGCCTCCCAGCAGAGGGAGTGTCAAGTAAGGTTAGGCTTGAACTTAAGGCAGCTTTCCTCCCCCTGGAGGCCCTCACAGCTCAAGACTGACCTTCTTACCATTTCAAGGTCATAAGAAAGAGAGAGCGTCTCTATTGCCAGTAGTTCTAAAACATTCCTGGAATTGGCTTTCATGGGACAAATTTGAGTCGGGAGAAACTTCTGAACCCAGCAGTTCTTGGGAAGAGCCCCTGAGAGGCCCTGTCCCCCCTCACCCCTCACCCCTGTAAGCCGAGCTTTAAGACTGTGGACAGCCCTGACCTGCCCCAGGCTGATGGATTCTCGCTTCACTCTGTTGTCCTTGTAGCAATTTCCTCAGCGCATCCTGAGTGGGTGTGCAGCCAGGCCACATTTGTCCCCTAATGGGCACGTTGGACAAGGCTAGCCTCGGAGGACATGGTCCTTCATTCTTGCTGACACCTACCTCCACAACTTTCTCTAAAAGGGACAGTTGCCATTTCCAGCCACCCCTGGAACATAGGCAGACTTTACAGATGAAGTGATGTCAACTGGAAAATTGGGAGCCAAGAGGGACCCAAATTGGGGACAGGCAGGTGACAGCTCCTTCCTGAGTTGTGGGAAGGGACCCTTCCTCCTGGGGCTGTTGTGAGGACTCGGGAGATAGAGAATGTGGAATTGGTGCAGTGCCTGGCACAATGATTATCATCACTGTCCTTGTCATACCAGCAACATCATCATTATCAGATGCCCACGGGGCTGTTGGAGTCCCATCCGTCCCCTGTCCTCAGGAGTTGTCCCAGAGTTACTGGTGTGACCACACCCAGGACGAGCGGCAGGGTCAGGACTAACGTTAGAGAGAAAATAGATCAGACTGAAGCCCACACTCCCTCCACTGCGTCCACCCCACACCCAGCTTTTGTGGGGCCAGCAGGGGTTCCAGAACATGCTCCTGTGCTCTGACCACAGTCCAGTTACATAGTCCTGGTCCAGGGAGGCCCAGTGCCCGAGAACCAGAGGGATGAGTGGACAGGGGCCCATCTGCCTGGGGCCTGGGAGGCTCACAGGACAGGACGTTTGCTCTGCAGAGTCCGGGTCTGAGGCCTGTGGGTTCACGGGGTAAAACACCTTCCCTACAAATCCACTTTATCTTTAGGGAAGAAAAGGCAACAAAGATGTGCGTGAGGGCGTGCACACGCGTGTGCATGTGTGTGTTTCATATGATAAGCGGGAAAACATAGTGCCAGGCCTGTGAAAGGGCCACAGGAGGAAGCCGGTTTGGCTTTCTCCCGCGACATCCCTGCGTGGGAGCATCCCCTCCCCGGGCACTCCCTTCTTCCTCCCATTCAGAAGCATCCGCTGAGCCCCTGCTGGAGACACTGGGCTGGGGCGGCTGGCACAGGGTGCTGGAGGAGCCGTCTGCAGCCAGGGACAGTGGTGATTCATCACCGTCCCTCGAAGCCTGGCTTAGATGGGGGTGGGCTTCATTGAGGACGGAGGAGGGGGCGAAAGAGGCCTCGGGATGTGGAGGTGGAAACATGGAAAATGCCATCACGGGCTCTCCCTCTGAGCTGCCGAGGATGTGCAGTAACAGCTGATTCTATCTTCTCATTCATTTTTGGTGATGGGCTCCGTAAATACCTACCTTGAGATTTCACGGGAGAGTGGGTGCAGGTTCTAGACTCTTCTATGGCAGTGTGACCCTGTGCGAATGGGTTGAGAGTTAGGATCTCCTGGGGTAGGGTGGGGCTTTAAAAAATCTAGATACTTTAAAGAAAACCTCAGTGGGGCTCAGGCCTCAGTAGTGCTGAAAAGCCCCAGGAGATTCTGATGTGGAGTCAAGCTTGAGAACCACTAAGCCACACCCACCACCTCACTGGACAGATGGAGAAACTGAGGCCCGGGGCCTAAGGGCTGTGGTGGGGCTGATCTCTAAGGCCCTGCCAGCTGACAGGCTGGGAGGGGGAGTGTGATGTCTTGATTAGGATCTGGGGCTCTGGAGGCCCCCAGCCCCAGGCTTGACTCCCGCGTCTGCCTCTCACCGGCTGTGTGACTTTGGGAAGGTGCCTGCACCTCTCTGAGCTCCTCCTCTGTGGAATGAGGGTGGTCATGGGACTTGCTCAACAGGTTGTGTAGAGGACGTATTGGGCCGATGAGTCCAATATGCTCACCCCAGAGCTGGGCACACAGTGGGCCACGCACTGCTGGTGACTGTCCCTGGGTCTCTGGTCATGTGGAGCAGCTGTGCCTGAGTTCCCCCTCTGGGAGGCCGTGCTCTCCACCTTTCCAGGACCGCAGGGTCTGCCCCTGTCCTGCCCTCCCTCTCACTGTTCCCACTTTGCCTCCTCCCCGGGGAGTCTGCAGCAGCTCCACCTGCTCCTCCCCACCCCTCCCTTCCCTTCTCCCACTTAACAAACAGCTTCACTTAAACAGCCATCTGGGAGGATGGATGGCACGAGGCACATTTTGTAGAATAAGTTTTCAGGGAGAGGAGCCAAGAAATTAAAGGCACAGCGCTTACGGTTCCAGTCTTATTAGGCCCCATAATTCTGACGATTGGACCTTTTGCAACTGTGAAATGAGTCACCTCTGCTGGGGGCTCCCACAGCACCCTAATCCCACCACCACCCCCGTGCACACAGAGCTTGTCAATTCCTTGAAGGAATGGGCGAGTCTTCATTAATCTCTTTATTTCCAGCCTCTGGGTACTGCCTGCAACCTAGAAGTCAATACATATTTGTTGAATTAATGAAAATAAGTCTGTGTTTGAAGACATGACTTCGGTGAGATTGTTTGCATTTTAACAGAGAACAAATCCTCAAGCCACAGGAAGGGAAGCGCCAGTGGTGGAATTTCAGGCACCAGGAAACTGGGGACAGAAGCTTCCTCGATTGTTCAGTGCCTGGAGGAGGCAGGTAGAATTTTCCATTCACAGCTTTCCAGGGCAAAAACAATCACATGGTCTCCTGAAAAATACAAATGTGTCAGGAAAACAAATGTGTTTCCCCTTTGACTTTCTGGTGGGAGGAAACTTCTCTCTAGTCCTGTCAGATTTCTCTGGGCTGGTTCTGGTTGACAGAATGTTCCCTCCTCACTGCTGTCCCCTCCCCCTTCCCCATGGCAATGCCCTGGCTGACCGTCCCTCTATCCCTGACCCTCGGACTCTACAGCCTGTCAGCGCAGCTCTACCTGTGGGGGGAGACCCTACAGTTACCTGGGAGTTGAATAAGCCTTGTTCTGCAGCTCAGACATTTCTACATTGAGCCCACTATCCTGGCTGCTTCTCCTGAGCTGACCTGGGGCCCGTCCTCACCCCTGGGCCCCTCGCTGGTCCTGTTAAGACCCCTCATGCCCCAGCTCTACACATGACAGCCTCTCTGCCTTCAAGTCCATCCCCTCCAGCCCACCCTCCACTCTGCCCCTGAGGGTTCCACTGCAGCACAAAGCTGACTGGGTCCCTCCCTGCTGGAAACCCTTCTCAGGCTCTGTGGTGTCCTTGGGCCACGGTTCCAACTCCTCAGCCCGCACCAGCCACGCAGAGGCATGGACATTAGCCAGGTACACACCAGGCAAGCGCCCGCCCCTGCTTTTGCACCTGCCGTTCCCTCTGTGGGAACGCCCTTCCTTCCCTGTTGGCCTGGCGAGCTCTCACTCCTCAAGACGCAGCCCCAACACCCCCTTCTGTGTGAAGGCCCCCCACTGAGCCTATTTCTGTCTCTGCTCATGGTCCCTCATTACCGATCCCCTAGTCTGCCTCCCCTACTAAACTGTAGGCAGCTCTAGGTCAGAAGCCAAGCCTGATTTTTTGTGTGTCCCCAGCATCTGGGAGCAGAAGAGGTGTCCGTGTGTGTTTGTGGAGGGAATGAATGAATGAATGGACTTACTGCTGTTAAGATAACAGTAACAATGATAGCTATTATTTCCAGAGCATACTGTATGCGCCAGGCCTATAGATAAAGCGTTTCATCCAAGTGCAACCAGCAGCCATGAAGGCTGGAAGGAGTGCAGGGTGAGATGTCCTTCACCTTCTCACAGGCTCCCTCTGGCCTCTGGGAGGAGCCTGGTCAGGGAGAGCTAGGCAGAGTAGAAGCTGCAGGCTGGCGGAGAACCTGGACTTAGTGGTTTCTCTCCATAGGCCCTGACCCCGCTCCTCCGTGTCTGGGGACCTGCCTAGTCCTGCTGACCCACCTCCCTGGAACCAGCCCCTGCTCCTGGGCCCATCCTGTGGTCAGGCTCCTGTACTTTCCCCGCCCATGAGTGACTATCCTGAATCTCACATCTCGAGTCGTCTCTCTGCCCAGTCCTGAGCTCTCCCTTCCTGACCACAGGCTGCCCCCAACACCTGGCTTTCTTGAGACTCTTATTTGCCTGCTGGCCTAAGAACCCCCACATCCGGCAGCCATCTCTATCCCCAATCTCTGCCCCAGTCAAGTGTGGTGAACCAGCCTCTACAGCAGCCTGTGAAGAAAAAATCAGAGGGACCTGGGTTTGAATCCTGATTCTGCCACAAACTAGCTGTGTGACATTCGTCAAGTGTCTAAACCTCTCGGGCAGCAGTTTCCTTGTCTGTAATAGGGAGATACTATTGTCTCCTCCAGGGGGCGTCCTAAGGATGCATCATCACATGTAAGGACAACTGCTGGTGCCGCAGGCTCCTTATTCATTTCAATTTCCCATCTCCTCTCCCCCTTCCTTAAAGATGAGATGGTGAGGCCCCTTGCCTAGGGTCACACAGGAAATTGAGGGTCTGTCACTGTTTCCTGGAGCAGTGTTCTGGTCATGCTATACTGCCCTGTGTCTCAGTTTCCTAATCCATAAAATGGGGATAATAATCGTGCCCCCACTCAAGCTGACAGTGGAGACTGATAGAGTTGATCCGTAGGGAGCACGTAGGACAGCGCCCGGCACACGAACCATCTGTGAGCTGTGGCTCTTGCGTGGCCCCTTCACCATCGCCTCTCAGTCCCTGAACACCCTTGGAGAACTAACGGCTTAAAGTGACGGATCCTTTCCACCCCTCTAAGCATCAAGTTCAACACCTATATTTTGCACACGGGAAAAACGAGGCCCAGGTGGGAAGCAACTAGCCTAAGGTCACGCGTGGAGGAGGCGGCAGGTGGGGCTGGGCATCCTGCCTGCAGTCTCTTCTGTTGCCTACTTTGGGGCAACTGATGCTGAGAAAGCTCTGCTGAGAGGAAGGATCTGAGAATTGGGATTATTCTAATTACTGTCACTGTTATCTCTGTGCAGAAATGACATCGGACCCAGCCCAGGGCCAAGTGGGAGATGGGGATGCTCAAATGTGGGGGGCTCGGGGTGGCCGCTCCCCAGGAGGGGAGAGTGATTGCCCCTAGACAGTGTCTCGCAGTCTCGCTCTGACGCTCTTCTTTTTTGCGGGTTTATTAAGCAGCTTCTACCCAGTTCCAGACTCCACAGATGGGGTTCCCTCAGTTACGATGCTCTTTCTACCAGGCTGGGCAAGTCCCAGATTCCAGCACCACAATCACCATTTCTTGAGCATGAAATGAAGGTGCCAGGAACGGCGAAACCCCTCACCCACACCATCAATTGTAGTTCTCACAAGGACTCCACAAGGGAGGCGGTGTGAAGACAGCCCCGTTTTATGGATGAAGCTACTGAGGCCCAGAGTGGGTGGGCTGCCTGAAGGAGCCTTGTGAAGTAGGGGGTCTCCCTGAGGAGGGAACTGAGGCTCAGAGAGGGTCAGGAGCTCACCCAAAGCCAAACAGTAATGTTTCTACTGCCAGGCTTTACTCCTACCTCATCCAGTGGGGGCTGGACGTCTTCCACCCTCATCCCCCAGCCAGGGTTGCTTTACAGGGAGTCTTTTAAAATGACAAATCAGATCATATCACCCTTTGGCTGAAGGACTTCTGTGGCTGGTGAGGGGACTGTGACCATCAGAGCCGAGTCTGTCTCATGACCTCCGCGCCAGCCAGATGCCAGCACCGGGGCAGCTGCAGCCACAGTGTAACTCCGAGGTCCCCGGAAGACACATTTGCCGGCGGTGCTTGGGCTTCCCGTCACCTTCAGTCCTCACAACTACTCCTGTGGGTACACAGGGCTGCCCCTGTTTACACAGGAGCAAGCTGAGGCTCCCACAGGGGAAGCGTCGTACCCAGGCTCACACAGCTTGGAAATGGCGGGTCCAGGCCCAGGGCTGCCTGCCTTCCTTCAGTCAGCCCCTCTGAGGTCTCATTTCAGGAAGGCAGCGAGATTGATGTACTACTCTGCAGCCGGGCCCTGCTGTTCCCAGCTCTCTGGACCTGACTGGCTCTGCCAGCAAGTGTTTTATTACTTAAATCACATCCAATCAGTATTACCCCTTTGGCTGGACACTGAGAGATTGTTTCAGCCACCAAGGTGGAAAGTGAAAGAGGAATTGCTGGAGAAAGAGGGGAAAAGATCAGCTGGACAGAGGCGGGGGCGAACCGGGAGGCAGAGGAACCCTGTGGTCAAGGAGGCCGGCCATGGAGCCAGGGCAATAGGCTTCCAGCACAGCGATCCCATCACCGGCCCCCGGTGGCCCCCGATGACTCCGAGCCTTGGCTTCCTCCTGGGTGAAATGGCTCTGGATGTGTCCAGCCTTCGGGTGGCTCCGTTTCTGGAATTTTCACTGACGCTGACTCTGCGGGACCCTTTCACCGCCTCTCTCCTCCCAGCCTGTGCACGGCTGGTGGCTCCCCTGGGAGCTTCTGTCATCCCGTGGCCTGCCCACCCCTGCGTATCCCCCTGACCCGGGCTGAAAGGAAGCGCCTTCCGCCCCCACGCTGGACTGTCCACCCTGCTCTGCCCACAGTGGGTGCTCCCCTTCCCAGGGTGTTGCATCCGTCCTGCTCGGTATTGCTTCCTCAGCGCCTAGGACGGGGCCTGGCACATAGTAGGTGCTTAGAAAGTGGGTGACATTTATTTATTCACCAAGTATGTCCTGAGCACCAGCTGCCTGCCAGGCCTTACCTGGGTGCTGGGGAGCCTGTGGACGAGGGGGAGCAGGACTCTTGGAGGCTCTGGTCGGCACCATACTTTCTCCCTCTACCCTGAGGTGGTCTTGGCTTCCGTGTGCATCATCCACACCCCTCACCCCACATCCCCTGGGCCCCATCACCCCTTCTCCCACAGTATTGTCCATCACAGGGGAAGAGCAGACCTGGCCATCTGTGACTGGGCATGTGGCCCCAGTCTGTAGGTAGAGTCTCTGTGGAGACTGCCCTGGCCGTGCTGTGGGCGGTCTGGGTTGCGGTGCCTGGATGGGTGGTTCTTGAGCTCAGCGGAGTGGTCAGGGCCTCGATAGAGGGACAGGAGCCACTGTTGACAGCAGCGGGTGAGGCAGGCAATATAAAACAGACGTGAGTCAGTATACAAATGAATTCCACAGATTGGACTCCAGTTGGCTGGGGGAGTTGAGCAAAGCCATGACCTTGGAGGGGCTTCTTGCTTCCAGGAAAGTCCCCCTCTGCCCTTGCAGTCAGAGCTGCCCCTGCTGCTGCTTCTAATGCTAATACTCTCTATTCCCCAAGATGCTCCGGCTCCCTGCTTCCTGGCTGCCTCTCCCCTGTCTGAGTTTATCTAGTTCCTCATTTGTTGGGTGGGGGAGGTGAGGTTCACAGACAAGACTGTAGCCTGCCTCTCAATAAGGCACTCGATACGTGCTGAATTAATGAAGACACTTAGACAAAGCACAGTGCTTGCTCTGTAAGAGTTTGCTTTGTACCAGAAATATCATAGGCACCCAAGTAATGAATAAGAAACTGCCTTAGGAGGGAGCCAGAGGGTGGGGTACACATACTGACTGTGTGACCTGGGTAGGTGCCGTCACCTCTCTGAGTCTCTGCGTCATCTGCTGGTTGTGAGGAATAAATAGAGGAGGACAGAGTCCC